TAGTAAACAGAGAACAACTGATGCCTGCTATTCTCTTGGGGAATAGCTAAACATGTGTTGACATTAGAACTTTTGCTCACCTGTCAGCAGAGAGTCCTCAAATATAGTACATAGTATTCTCCGAAGGTACAGTGAAGGGAAAATAAAGGACGTCACAAGCACAGCCGGCCCAAGGATCCATTTTAGGTTGTTCTGATTCCCCTGCGGTACCTTAAGAAGTTTGTCCTCCCTTCCATATGGACGATTGTAAAATGATAATAGGCCCGGTTTTCCATCAGTTCCCTCAAAAGGGACATACAAGCTGCTCAAAGAAGAGGATTCTTCAGAGGGAGTGAGAAGATTTGTCTCCTCTAAAGCATCTGAATCAACCTCACTGTCTTGTGCATGCCCCACTGAAGTAGCGCAGAAAGTATTTTTCCCATTTTGGAACTTTCTATTCGAGATGACCGCTCTATCGATGAAGCCATGAGCCTTGACGGCTTAAAAAAGGAAAAAAGAAGAAATCAAAACCAATCATCAATCCAGTAGTAATAGATAATTGATGATAACTAGCAAGATCGTGAAAGAAATAATATATTGTAAAATGGCCATAGCCAAGATTTTTGAAGTTTGAAGTTGAAAACTAAAGTAGCTAAATATCAGAATCCAGCTGCTTGCATCATTGCAAAAGTCCTTAAATCGGATGTGCCTACGCAAAATACAGATAGAACTTGTTTAGTTCTAGAAATTACCCTTAGAATTGCTCAGCCAGTGAGTATCAGATGAGCGGCTTCCACATGGCACTCTTAATAGGCCGAGCTGGCAATGAAAGTATCAGAGGTTTAAACAAAATTAGAACCAAATTTTTTAAAAGAAGATATATCACTTCAAAAAAATTAGGATCACTGAAAGAGAATTGTTTTCTCTATCAAGTAATGCGCAATACAATTGGCAGAACACCAAATAATAACCAGTTGAAGAACCCTCAAGATAACTGAAAAAGGTAACTTGTTGAACACTAGAAAGGAAAATGAAAAAACGAGACACCATATCTTGAGTTAATGCAATTGCAGTCACCAAAATCCCAGTTTGGATCCTATGAATCAAGAAAAAGATCAAGATTTCCTTTTCTTCTCTTCACATGTTAGGACTTTGACAATATAAATGATTTTCGTCCACAAAACATTAGAATTGCTAGAACCTCCTTTATCCAGCAATTCAATTTTCATTAAAACTTAAGATACCGAGATTGAAAGCCCAACGAAAATTATAGGAAGTGATTATCATTATTAGCATGTGCTGAAAATAAACAATCATCAACTTAGTATGTTGCAGTCATTCCCAAATGGGACTATAAATAATCAGTTGACCGAATATGAGCAAATGGATAAAAAAAAAAGGCATCCTTCAGTAAACAAGCTTCTTTTAGGAAAATTGATAATGTCATGTTCTAAGGACAAGGAGGATTTGATTCCCCACTTGAAATCTTTGAAGCAACTTAGCAACATTCAAAAGACAATCAGAATCTAAAGAGCAGCAGCCTAAAGCATTTTATAGTTCTCAATCCATCTCTTATAGCAAAGAAATTTTGTCCAATTGTAAAAAATTTCTCACCTTTACCACTGTATCAAAGATCTATTGTAGTCCAAACACTTAAAAACATTGTAGTAATAAATGTTGGTCATTATATGCAGGTTCATTATATTCTCTAGAAGTTGGTACCCCCTCTCTCTTAGCCTCTTATGTGAGGCTGTATTTGTACATTTAAGCATTTAGATGATAGAAACTTAAAGTAACGCCCAAAGCTAATTTTATCTCATATATAGATATTTTAGGTTTGCAGTTCTGTTCTCACAAAAAGCATTCTCTATCGATACCGTTGCATATTTCCACATACGTTCATAACACACTTTTCTGTACTTCAAGGATCTTAACGCCTGACACCTCCATAGATGTTTTAGTACTAACTTTGGAGCTCTGATCCAACTAAACCCAAATTTCTTCAAAATGAAACATCTATCCACATTTATTTGTCATCTTTTCACTAATAGAATCTCATGATCCTAGCAGCAAAGTTCACCATCATAAAACCTAATCCACCATCCTCCGCAGGATCCAAATCTTAGTAACCTTGAATATGATCAAAGTAACTCTCTGGCAGTTCACTTACTCAGAATTCATTCTCAAGGTGACTCTATCCATATATAATTAATTGTCTAGGAGTCAAATCCTAGTTTTTAACAGCATTCATTGAGTAACTACCTATCTTACTTTGGCATTCTGATTATTCGACCAACCAAGAAAATAAACATTTGCACCATCCTCTTGAAACTAATACAACATTATCTGCAGTTGTCCTCTCATTAGCAAGACGTACTAGAAGGCCAAAATACTGTGGACATGAGGTCAAATAGAATTATAGTGCCCGGAATTAACTCTGGGTTCACCATATATACAACAAACTTCAACAAGGATGAGAGCATCCACCAGAAAGCATCCATACAAACAGCATAAAAGCAAACAATGTGGAAATCCACGACTGTCTTTGAGATTCACTGACCGAGCCCATGCTGATGCACGGTCTTGCAATATCATCAATATTAATGACATGGTACACATCCATCCCTCGAGAAAAAGGAAATGGAAGGTTGCGCTAGTCCAATATTACATTCCCCCCCCTGTTGGGGTGGTGAAAAAAGACTTTATCACAGATTCTCCATTATAATAGGAACTTATCCCAACATGGAGCCTAAGGACAAATTGCATAACCATATATCAACCCCTCTCACGCTCTTCACCGGTTCTTAATTTTCCAGACAATTAACTTAAGCCGCGGTCTCCTTTTAAAAAACTATTTATGGATTCTTGATACAGTATGTATGTATGCCTTCACTGGAACTCTTGTCATAATTTTCCCAGAAAATCGTACATTTTGCATGAAAATTCTACTCACACACCCCGATAACAAGCACGGCTGGCTCAATCTCGACAACGAAAATAATCCAAGAAATTGTAGCCATAATCTACTCACCACCACCACCAGCACCACCACCACCAAGAATCAGATTGACAATCCACAAGCAAGAAAGCACGCTGAACGATGTACAAAAACTCAGCAGAAATCAAATCTTTGAAGTGCTAAACACAGTCCCGACCAGACCAGGTGAAATCTTTCTCAATTACCCGGAAAACCTCGGGCTTGAACGGAGAAGAAACGGAAGTGGCAACACAAGACACCGAAGAGGAACCGGCTCTGACCACCACCATCTTTCTACAAGGACGACAGCAGCAGCAGCATGGCCCAGTTCAGTCCAGACGCGGTCGCCGCCGCATGCCCACGGGAAATCGGCGCAACCCCATTTCGTTTCCGAGAAATCCCAGCAAGAATTGCTCGGTCCCGGGAATTTCTCACAAGGGAAGGAGGAGGCGCCAGGAGGAGGAGGAGGAAGGGGAATATATAAAAATCTACTTCCTTGTTCTTCTTTGGAAGGTTTCGGAGAATCTGAGGAACGGGCTTGTGAGGTGAAATGGAAGAGACTGCCACCGGTCCAGACAACTCAAAAACGGCTCGTTCCATTGGGTTTTATACCGAGGGCGAGCAGCATTTTCGGAAAAAATTTAGGATGCCTTTTGCTAAATTTCCTTTTTAGCCTAATTTTTGTCGCCCGTAATTTGAGGGGAAATATCATATGAGGGAATGTGACCAAGATGTACCTTATACTTGATAAAGGTTATTTTTTTCATTTGATATAGTATATTGATATCGTAAATCGGTCTTATTCAATTTAATCATGTGCGTTCGGGGGAGAAAAGAAGAAAGAAAGAAAGAAAGAAAGAAGACTTTCTCTTTTGTTATGTTTGGTATGTTTTTTTATAAGTCTCAAATTTGTACATCTTGGATGAAAATTCATTTCTACCGATTGTCGAAATCAACGCATCGATACATGTATGTGTGATACGTGGTCAAGAAAATCGAAATATTCTTCTACTTTTCTACTTATTGACACTTTCGTATCTTTTATTTTGAAAAGCAAACGGGGCGCAATAATATTATTACGAACTTGATTAGAAAGATAGAAGGGGGATAAAATAGCGTCTCGAGTAGGTTTCGAAATTAGGGTAATCAAAGGGGGAAAACCGATGATGAATTTTTTAAATTATTTCTGATAATTACACGAATGAAGACCCGTGTGCATTTGCATATGATCATTTGACTCTTATCAAAAGAAACATTATCATTTGCCAACAAAATTTTGGTACCGGACGAAAATATCCCGAGCCCTTCGGGCCTACAAATGGACTGGACAATGTCATTGAGAGGGAAATGCAAATGGACTCCACGGGACACGAATGCGAACAAGATCGATGTCGAGTCCAACATCATCGCGTGGGCTCTTTATAGCTGCATGTGAGAGCTGGCTCGTTCTTGGAAGATGGCATTTTCATCACAGATGAAGGCACCATTCACCTCAACGTAGTGCAGGACATTGTGACATGAATCGAGTGAACTGCTATGGGGGTTGATCAGATCACTTCTTTTGGTGATTAAGGAAATCAAATTGGAGTAAATGGGGGAAGAAGGGGATGAAGAACTCAGGTGGACTTGCATTATTACAATCCAGTAAGCTATCGCTTATGCAACAGGGAAGTTTCTGACCAACTCATGTCCGTGGTTACTTCCGAAATGTCACTTTTCTAGTCAACATTGCTAACTAGCTGTCTTATGGGTACATGAGTTTGGCAATGGAGCATTTCGTGTCGTTGTGAGGTATCCCGTGGCCTCTCCGTGATTGGAGCAAGACGAGTCATTCTGAGAATGTCACCAACGCTGCGAACGGAGATCGAATCTTTGTTGATATATCTACAAACCTTTCCAGGCATTAGCTCTTCAGATTTGGAACCACTTCTTCCCTAATTCCGTTCAACACGAGTCTTACATTACTCATCTCACTGATCATTCGTTTCTTTACGTTCACCAAGTTGGCAAGTTCATTGTGCTACTACATCTGTGAGAAAAAAGAGAGCACAAACAACAACCCGAACTTTACTCATCATATGAACCTATATAGAGTACTACAATCCCCGCTGACCTGTGAATATACACGGACACAAGGCAGCATGAAACGTAAAGTACTTTTTTTTAGAGACAACTTGCACACTATGTCCATAATTACTGTTATAATAAGAGCATACTTCTTGTCTTTTATCTACTTAACCCTCAGGCAACATTATCAGCAATGACAGACATGATTCATTTACCACTCAAATAAGCATATAAGTTCAGGATGAAGCTACACCGCCTAACTTATGTCCATTCACTCCAGCTACTTCAACATCCACCCAGACTTCGTTCACTCGCCCGATGATCTGGAACGGGGTGCTATACTGTGCAATCGAGTATGCATAGTCGCTTTTGGAAGTAATATTTGCCCATGTAGATCTGCTTACGCTGAGAGCGAGTTTTCTTGCTTCTTTGACAACGATGTCGTCCAGTGCGAATCCAGGGAACTTCCTGACGGCAACATAGTGGCTGCTCCAATCATATGGTTCTAGCTTCAGCTCGGGAAGCGGGGTTGGTGGGGTCGATTGGAATTTCGTGGGCAAGTAGAAACGTACGACATAGGCTGACGAGTGGAGGGGTCCTGCCCCCGGAACGATGCTCGTCAAGACAGGTAATGTCATTGCCAACCTAGAGCAATTCAAATTGGCACCTTGGGTGTACTCAAACAACCTGTAAGAAGAAAGAAGGGAATTTATATATCTACAAAATTGTAGCAACCAATGACATTTCAATCTTACAAGGCCACACGACATGGATATTGAAGATTGACAACGTGAAAGAACTCATCTTTGAAGTACAAGCATAATATGCAATGTTCAGCCGAAGGTCAAATCTATTCTAACTCGTTGAGCAAAACAAAGACCCCAGACAGGAAGTTTCATAGAAAAAAACCAATGATGCAATTTTATGCAGACTTTCCTGGACATGGCAAGTACACTGCTTTATGCAGTAGCAGCAGAGTTGATCTTCATTTAGAAATAATCGAGTAAAAGAATTGCCGAACCACCCACCAATCAGTATGGGCCAACAACTGAGCACTCAGCACACATCCAGGATGAAGATGCGCATCCTCAACGGATATATTTAGGCTCACAAATCAATCATTAGAATTGAAAACATAAGCAGAAGCAATAGATCATAAAACAACAACTGCAGATTAGTCACATCTAGTGAAGGCTATTTTGTTCTGGAACTAAAAATACATATGATTGCATTCCTGGAAAAGACACCTTAGTGAACGTAAACTGAAATCGAATCAACTTATCACTAGCGATGCTCTATCAAAGTTCATTCAACGCGATTCAATCACTGTCAAGAATCAAAGGCCAATCCTTGAGCTATAATAGAAGTTTCCGGCATCTCAATCCCTATAACTTTCCACAATTAAGTGAAAAAACTAGAACTTTTCGAATCAATGAGAGAAGAGAAGGAAAAAGGGCACCTCTGGTAGCCGTTGAGAGTGGCCATCTCAAAGGAGAGGTCGCTTGCCTGAGCGGACATCCACGAGGAATTCCCGTACAGCCTCACCTCAAAGTCTGACTCCACGTGGACGATCGTATATTGCGGCGACTCGATCGAGTCGCACATGGCGGCGAAGAGGGAGAGTAGGCTGAGCAGCGATGCGATTGCAGCGATTCCTCGTCTCTCCATGTTTGCGATAGCGGGTTCTGGTGCGGGAGAGTTTGAAGGACGTGGTTTCATGGTCGTGTGGTTTATGAAGGAAGACGATAACGAATCGGACAAAACACAGGTCTGAGATAACGAAGATCAGAGTCCACAGCAAAATGTTCCCGGAATATATTGTTGTCTTTTATGAATCCAGACTCGAAGAATGTCGTCCTAGGATAGAGTTGATGACAAATCAAATGGCCTGTCTCAACTTGTCAACTGTCAAGGTGACGGACAACGTAGTTTATTAGACAACTGACATTTTGTCGACTTTGTAATTATAGCTATATTACTTTTATCATTCAGATTATTGTCCGTATACGGAAATTGTGAGATATAACATTTCATTGGTCTGATTGGGCTGACTCACTTGTCACTGCAGGCCCACAGATCTATAGGATGCGACTGTGGAGATCAAGAGAACGGGTGCAGGAATGTATGTTATGCATATCGATCGTGAAACAGTTGAAATCATTCAACGACAGTTTCTGTGAATAATAAGCCTAGTGTTGGTACACCGCATAAGTCAGTAAAATAACCCGGACTATGTTACTGATACTGAATTTTAAAGGGGCTCAAGGAAGAGGCTTGCTCTAGGATAGAGACCAGCATCTTTCAGGGTCATTCCCATCTGATCGACACCGTACGTCTTTCTCGGAAAGCTCGACACCAGTCTGTAATTCGCAATGCCCGGGAGGCCTAATGAGTCGATGTATGTGTAGATTGATTGGATCTTGTCTGTGCACAAGAAGCTGTGTTCTCTTCTATCGCCATTGGGGAAGCGAATCAATATCTGGAAAAGATGGAAGTTAAAGGCCAGGAGTCATTTTTTTGACTCTGATCTCTAGTTCAAGCTTGTGAGTATTGATATTCTTTTTGCAACATCGGTGTGTCATGCCATACCTGTGTCACCTGTTGATCTATTCCTTGACTAGCTTTTCCCTTGTTTTGCAGTCGTCTGCTCGCGGCCGTAGCCTCTTTCGGTTTATCGTACTGCTTATTGGAATTCTGTAATTTCTCATAATCTTCTTTACGCGGAACTTCCTTCAGATTATGAAACTTGGGTCCTGCTCCTCCTGAAGACTTCCTTCTTTCCTTCTCCTAGAAAGCGGAAAGAGAAAAAAGATTCAGTTCATGGTCACTTCTTATTACAAGCTACTCAGTAAATTACATCAGACCTTGTCTATCTCTAGAGCAGCAAAATATGCAGCATCTTGTTCTTTTCTTAGATGCCGATCAGCTTTTATCTTTTCTTCTTGCTTCAACCTCGCACCACCAAAGGCCGACCCTTGCTCTTCCACTGTCCTCTGGAGAATGTCAACCAGCTCCGATGGGGAAATCGGACCTTCTATCTAGCCATTGTTAATCAAGCACAAAAACAACTTTCAATTATCGCTGAAAAAAAAAGAGGACTAACTTTTAGTTAGGACTTCAATATGTTAGGTCTGTGTAATAGTTTTGTAATATTTGAGATCGTGCCCCTCTATATGGCAAATCATTGTATGAAGGTACTGTTAAGACTCGAGGACTAACGACGACCATTTTAAGTTTTTTTTTTTCCCCATGTTTGCGGTTGCATTGATTAGTTTGCTCCAGAGTATGGTCATCACTATCAGGAAGAGTAGAAGTACCTAAATCTTTGGAAAGTCAAAAACACAAATATGTTCTAAGAGACCTGTTGTAGTACTGCAATGCTATCGCCGGGAGGTGGAGCGATAACTGTGCAGAATGGGAAGCTCTGGGGACGCAACGCCATGGCCATTTGCAAGCCCTCTCCACTGTCAGTGAGTCCTCCCCAGCTAACGAAATTCTCGTCAAGGAACTGCACGACCATCTCCGAGCACAGGGTCTCCCTACAGAAGGAAGGGGTGAAGGGGTGATCCGGTGCGTGCAAGTACAGGAACAAGAATTTCCGATCGGCTTCTGCAATTTTGAGCGCTTCCGTGAGCCGACACGCGTAGAAGAAGGGATGCATGGAGCCGTATTGCTGTTCGAAGACTGTCAAGAATGCCCACTCATCTTGGGGAATTGTGGGTTCTTGTGGATATTGAGGTGGGTAGTTAATGGGGATATGTTGGTGTCTTCTGTTGCCGATTCGCATTAAATCCATGCTGTGATTCATTGCTCTCGAGAACTCGCCGACGATGGCCCGAGGTAGACTGACCATCCGGCGGACTATTCCCCTGCAAGTCCCCTCTCCTGTTCCTCTTGCACTCTCCCTCACCGAAGACGACATAATTCTTAAATGATCGCACGGTGTCGGAAAGTAGATCTCGGGGTGGAAGTGTAATCCGATGGTATTGGTCCAGAGATCTTAGTAACAAGTTCAACTCTCAGGGAAGCTTTTGAACGGAGGAGATGAATGTAGACAGTGACAAGGGACAGAAAAGAACTCATTCCTGATTCGCGCGCTTTAAAGTGAAGTAGCGAGAAGAGTGCAGAAAAGCTGAAGATGCTCCTTCTTCCTTTTCAATTCACTTCGACAAAACTCTAAAAGATGATTCCTTCCTTGTGTGGGAATCAAGTGCAGGATTGCTAGGGAATGATCTTACCTTCTTTCCTTCTACTTGAAAAATGCTGATGACCTTGCCACGGCATAATACATAAATTGCACTAGAGAATACCACATCAGCCATAATATCATGTCACGATTCAACTCACTACCCCGCTTTCTCCGACCTAAATTGTCGAGACTGGAGTCGAGAATGAGATTCGAAGTCCAGCTATATTCTTTCCTGGTCATTCCAGATTTCAGGAACGCTCTTTTTATACTTCCTCAATTCTGAGATAAACAAGAGATGCTCTACGTTCAATAGTTGCTAGTGTTTGTGGCAAGACCAGTGTAAGTGCAAAAAAGGATATCTTGTTACCAAGATTGGAGGAACGCAAGTCACGCCTGGGCAACACAAGTGTCGCTTCAAAATGCATTATCAGGTATCATCACCTTTAGAAAAGCAAAAGCAATAGCACTCGGAGGATTCCTCCAAAAAGACCATAGAGAACAAATTATTGCACCGTCACATCAACAATGCCACTAGATCATGGCACTGCTATTATTCATCACCCACCCTAACATCATTTTCTTTTCCTCTTTCTTCTTCTTCTTCCTATTTTTTTTTTTTTTTTACAGGAGCCACCAAAAACCTTAAGTCATGCCCGCTATGACGCATTTACCCTAAATTTTTTTTTCTGTTATACAAATCTCAAACTTATATCCGTGACCTTACCAAATTTTTTTTTTCCTTACCAAAAAAAACTTATATCCGTGTAGCACATTTACCCTCCGACAAAGTTCTATCAATAAAAATCGTTAAAAATATGCCTACATGGACGCCGGAAAGCAAACAGTGTCGATATGGTACTCAAGTTGCTTAAGTGACATAAAACCGATGTTGTTTTGGCTGAAAAATAATCTAAGGAGATATTGACGGAGGGTAAATGTGTCACATAAGTATAAATTCGGGATTTTCGATGTCACAAGAAAAAGTTTAGGATAAATGTGTCACAGTAGACATAGTTTGGAATTCTTGATGTTGCAAAGAAAAGTTCAGGGTAAATGTATTACAGTGGGCATAGTTTGTGATTTTTTGTGCCTTTTTTTCCTTTTATTGGGGGCCGAAATCAGAGATTTAAGATACGTATATGTAATTTAGGTAGGAGAAATCAAACAGAATATATATACCACCAAAAGGAACATTGAAAGCTTGGTAAATCAGATTATAGAAAGTAAGAGATAACCACGTATCGCGATTGCCGGATCTTATCTTGAATGCTTGGATTATGAGAAGATAAGTAGCTCTATATGTACTCTACGATAAAGCATGTGAAATCATGTAATTAGCGGGACAACCACAAACACGTAGAAACATAGAGCGCCTCAAGTTTTGTATGGAAGATTTTCATATTTTGAAGGAGAAAAAAGATTTCCATCTTCTTCACCACAATTGCTATGAACATCCTTAAGTCACAAACCGGCGAGAGGTTCACTTGCGACATGCAATATATTGATTTTTATATGCAATATATTGATTTTTATTAAAAAAAATTTAACTGATAAAAGAATATCTAAATAGAACTTCAAACAATAGAGAATGACTTTCAGTTCCATATGCAGTAATTGAATGGCCACGAGGGCAACCACTAGCGAGACTTGCCCTCGCCGGATGGCCATGAGGGTAAGGGGGGAGTCTCGCCAGAGGCCGGCGAGGTCAACCTCTCTGGCCCTAGGCTCTGGCCGGTTGCCGAGGTCCAGCGATTAGCCAGAGGAAGAAGGGAGGGGAGGAAAAAAAAAGAAAAAGAAAGAAAAAAAGGAAAGGAAAAAATATATAATAAATGTAAAAATATTATTAAAAAGTTGTCCACGTTAGCATCGGCCGTGCCATGTAGGTTGCCTGGCGTTCACGTCAGCAATATCTGACTAAAATTAGCCGGAAAGACTAAATTGGTAATATGTCAAAAGGTTTAGGATTAAATTGGCACAAATGCAATAGGTTTAAATTGGCACAAATGCAATAGATTTAAGACTTTTCTGACACTTTTCCTCGAAAGAGAGAATTGTGTGATTTTTGTATATTTTGCATAATGAAGAGTAGGGGATGTATTTATAGCTCTTTCATTATGACTATATGATACGACAAGATATTATAATGGCAACTGTAATTAATTAGCGACATGCACAATCAAAAGAGATATATGCACAGCTTTGATAGGTATGGAGAATCAAGGGAGATATAGAGAATTTCATAAATATATCTCTAATAATCATCTTTTTGCGGTCATAATCGTGGCGTTTCACATATGTTTTGCTTTGTTGGTTAAAAAGGAAAACAAAAAAAGAGGGTCTTACCGAAGCAATTTCTCTTCATCTATCAAAAGATTTTCAGATAGCGCAGAATAATATTGAAGTGATGAAGTCACTACTCACTAGCTTCTCCTAGTCGCTCCGTAAAAATCATCAATGTTATAATTTTTTTTGGTAAAAGCAATATTTTAAATAGGAACGGTAACTTTTAGCTCTTTTCAAATTAATTACTTAAGTGCACACTTAGCATTAAATTAGCAAACTTATTCATATGACGATATAAAAGGGAAAAGGAAAGAAGAAAGAAGTTCAAAACAAGAATTTTGTTGTCTAGGATTATTTATGTCTAGATCCAAGTCCAACCCGCGATGTGGTCTCAAAAAGCTTGGTTTAGACCGCTCAATCGGGGAAAAATAGAGGCTCTTTAGCATTGCTAGAGTGGCTGTTTCAAGAAAATCTTTCTTATCTGGGGACGTGATTGTATGAATGATGGTATTCCTTTTTGTGTTTCTAAGCTAAATGTTTTCATATTACTTTACTAGCTCGTCAAATTTTGTTTTAACGAATATATAAAATGAGCATAAATACAAATTTAAATCATCGAGCAAAGATTAGCTAAGCGATCAATCTTCCTATTTGTATTTTGGTATCCTCCATCGAGACTAATTTGTAAGGCCATGCTCATCATTATGCGGTGGAGACAAACCCGATGCACATGGACTGAATTTTTCCATATATCCGTGGAGATCTATCGATCCAAGCGAAAGTTGGAATGTTTCCTGTAATTCGAAAAAATCGTATGAATTTTGTGCCGTGAATTGAAAATAAGAATTTGTATGAACAATTGTAAAATGTAACACTTCCCACGTTTTTTTTTCTCAACTAATGATAATTTATTTAGACATGAAGAGATCACCGAGCATTTTCCCGATATTAAAAGAAAGAGATGGTGTGTGTGCGCGTGACGATAAATAGAGACAAAAGGAGAGAATTTAAAGATTTATGGATGAGCCAAAAGGACAATCCTGCAAGAATTCGTTGTGCCATGCCCGAGATGTCACCTACCAGAATGGCTAATGTAATAACCATAACTACAGGAGTTGCTGTCGGCAAGGTTGTGCTTGGACCTCTGCGTGTCATTTAGTGATGAGCAGTAGGAGTCTCTCTTCATACACGCACTTATCATCTCTATGGTTTTCGAATAGGGACTGCAGTCTACAGTGATGGTGCTCTTTCCAATGTATTTTCCTCTCTGTGAAACTTGCAGTGGGAATAATCATGGGCTGCCATGGCTGATCTTTCTCAAAGTACGAGAAAAAAACACATGCAAGGAGAAACATCATTTTCCTCACTATTTTCGGGTTTTCGATTCTTTGAATATGGCTGATCAAGTATCCAAACTTGAAAAAAAAAAATTAAGTTTATATCTTTTATCTAATGCACTGTCTTTCTTTCTCGTGTTGTACATAATCGATAAATGGCAAATTAATCGATTAACTATAGTCAACAAGTGCGCAAAAGTACTCGTTAACAGGGTCCTTCAAATTCATACACACCGTCGTCATTGAGATCAGAAAAAGTAAGACTTCGTAATTAGGAGAGAATGACAATTGATAATGTGAAAAGTAACTGGTAAAACAAATGGGACATTTACTAAGATTTCTCAATTGCAACTCGAATCGTTCTTTTGCCGTCTCCTCGACTCTAGAAAAACTCAAAGTAAAATCGGTATTTTCTGCGTCTTATCCATCTTTTGTGCCTCCAAGTTTCACCATACAGTGAAAGAGTAAAATTGTTAGGTGACTGCTAAATATTATTCAACTTACGACGGAGCGAATATTGGGTAGTCTTGCGGTGTAAACTTCTTACATCTCCACAAACAATCATAATTATCAATTTCGAAAGAAAATAAACGTCGGAGATTCACACAAAACTCAAAATGGATAGTTTAATTCGCGTATGAAGTATCGAAAAATTTTCCTTCTGCGTACCTAAATTTTTTTTTTCCGACATGTCGTGAGACCATGGGTACATACAATCCTCTTGCAACTAAAGAATTGGTGCAAGCAAGCTCTGTTCCTACTTTGAGAATCGAGTAAAATTTTGTTTCATCTCTCTTTCTCCTCTACTGTCTTTCTTGAAGCAATTCTGAAAAGTGTTGCTCGCTTTGCTGCATCGCCGGTGGAGATTATGGCATTGGCCCATGGGCTTTTTACCACTCGAACCAGCTTGGAGCCACTGGTTTAAACCATGATTTGGGTTTTATATTGTAACACATATTATTGATACGATAAAATGATCGCATAGTTCGCTCTTGATTGCAATTAGGTGTCATATCGTGAACATCCTAACTTACAGTAGGGCATTCTTGTGAGCTATTTGATCAAGTTGGGCAGCATTCATCACCGCGAATTGCAATTACTCTTCCTTCTTGTTCTTATTTGAAGGCACGGATCTACGGTTCCGTAGCTTACGACGGAAAAGAGGGATGCAATCACGTGCGGATTTGATGAACCCGAGACGCTTATTGCAATCGGAGTCTACCTTGGCGGCACCAAGTACGTGGTGATAAGTGGTGAACCGGGTGCTGTTATTCGGGCAAAGATGGTAATAACTTTGTTGCCTCCTTCCTTTTTGCCAATAACAGTATTATTTAAGCTGCTAGGTTTATATAAACATTCTTTTTTTTTTTTTTGGGGCCTTTTGATAGGTTTCTTATGTCTTCTCTAATCTGAAATACATCTACTATCATAGTTTTCCGGGACACGATGTCCAGTAGGCACGTTAATTGACACGGCTCCTTGGAAGGAGTGGTGCACCATATTTCGTAATTAAGTACAAAAATGTCATAAAATTACATTACCGTTGCAACTAAGTTTAAATGAACCGTAAAAGAGACGATATTAATACTATGTGTTGGGTATCTTAAAAATTTCCAACTGGGAAAAATGACAAGCTCATTCGTTCGACACAAAAAATGAGACGTTTTTGGAAAATCGATTTTATTGTTCCAAAATGAGCGTTTTGGAAAATCGATTTTAATAAATTTTTATCTTTTTAAAATCGATTTTTTAATTATCTTTTTTCTTTTTCTTTCTTTCTTTTCTTTTTTTTTTCTCCCCTTCTTCTTCGGCAGGTCGCCGGTCACCGTAAAGGCCGACGACCGGCCATAGGAGAGCTCGAGCCTTGCCGGCATGTCGTCACCAATGGGCAGCAAGGTGGAGGCTCGAGCTCGCCAGATCGCGAGGTGGAGGCTCGCCGATTGTTGCCGTGGCTTGTGATCAATAGAGAAAAAAATAAAAGAAAAAATAAAATAAAATAAAATAAAATAAAATAAAAGATAAAAGATAAAATTACAATAAAATCAAAATAAAAAGAAAAAAAGAAAAGAAAAATAAAAAATAATTGAGAAGAAAAAGGAATGTGAAGGATATAGATGAAAGTGTTTTTTTCTCCATCGAGAGAAAAATAATTGTTTTCCTTGACTAGTTTATTTTCTGTGGACCGAAAGCCGGAAAACTCGGAAAACATTTTTTTGGAAATTATTTTTCGCGAAATGAACGGAACATAAAAGTGTCATAATGTTCATACGACGCCGACTTTAGTGCCAACACCTTTCGCCGGACCGTTTAAGCGCCAGATGAAAGGAAAGACGATCACTTAAGTTTGAAAATTGTTACAACGCGACAATTGTATCACCGATTTTAGAACAACGCATCGGTCGCGATTGAAATCGTCAAGAAATGAGTAGATTTTTTCCTCTTTTTTATCGTGTATCAAATCGTGAGCAGCAAATTAAATTTTGTGTTTTTTTTTTGCAAATTAAATTTTGTGTTAAACACACATGAATATGTATTTAACCACCATTACACACCGATCCCCACATTCGGTTGAATGCTAACCGAGCGTTTTCTACATATCTCACGAGATGTTCATCAATCACACGAGACGGATGGTTCGAATAGCCATATGATAACGGACGCGAAAATGCGATTTAAGTTATTTCAGGAAATACAAATAGACCTCCTCGAGATAGATAAATTAACCGGACGTAATAATTTCGTTGGCATCTGAAATTATCGTTTTTGTCCATTTATTAAAGAGGAACAAGCTTTAGTCACTCTTTTAGTAGCCAATATGGCTATATACGTTCGTGAAATTTTTTTTTTTTTAACCATGGATCATAAATAATAGGGGAGAGAGAGATATTGAGAGATAAACACGAGTGGAATTTCCATAATAAAGAAAGAAATTTTCGGAACGGAAGCCAATAAATAATTCAAGCGCACTTGCGCGTGTTATATTTTTACGCAAGCGGGATTTTTTTTTTTCCTTTTTTAACTTATTTTCTTTGTTTTCGAAATCTTTTTCCGTAGCAAAAAGGCGAGCAGAGAATATTCAAACCATTATTAACGCAAGCGCTCGTGCCCTGTTTCTCCCTCCATTCTTCGTCTTCTTCTTCTTCTTCTTTCACAGAATCGGAGATGGAGTGGGAAGATTACTACGAAGATTACTCGATGTTCAAGAAGATGAGCACGGATGAAGACGGCACGTATCAAGCCGCTGCTATCATCGGCCATGACGGGAAAGTTTGGGCCCAGACTGCCAACTTCCCTCAGGTTCATCCTCTCGTCCAATTTCTTCAATTTAAAACCTGTTTTTTCCCAGTTGTGAATTCTCTTGTTGCTGTAGAGTCTTCGATCAGGTCATTAGTCACTCCGAACGATAAAACTCGGTTCAGAGTTCTAGTTTTGTTTGATCATTGAATATCGGTGTAACTTACAGCGGCATTCCTGTAATCGGATTTGATCAAAAACAGGGGAAATGCAAATATTGGACGGCATTCATCACTTGCGAATCATGGTTGCTCTTCTTTCGTCTGATAGACTTCTCTGTTATTAGTTGGATGTAGGCGATTTGATCAAAAAACAGGGGAAATGCAATATTGGACGGTGTGTTCAAGATCGTGATTTTACATGGGCATGGATTTTCTGTTCTGCAGCTTACGACCGAAGAGAGAATTGCGATCATGCGCGAATTTGATGAACCCGGGATGCTCACTACGATGGGACTCTACCTTGGCGGCACCAAGTACGTGGTGACCCGAGTTGAACCAGGTGATGTTATGCGGGCAAAGAAGGTAATAAGATTGTCGCCTCCCCCACCTCTTTGTCATATGCAGCAGTCTTATTTGGCCGCTAGGTTTAATTCTCTTATTCCAAAAGGTTTTCCTGGAGACATGATATCCACTGCCACACCCATGATCAAACGGCTACCCAACTTCGAAAGAAACGTTCCACTCGAACATACCTGAGAGGAGAAATGTCATTTACAGAACGTATGAGATCTGGTTTAAGTTATTATGATGCAAAACAAACATGGATGGCTCATCCTATTAGACCTCCTAGCAATCCTAGTAATGGTCGGCGGTCAATTTGAGATGGCCTGGCAGCGCATCTTTAGGATGGATAACTCCACATACTGCTTCTTTCCTCCGACCTAGCACGTGACCCTAGCACATGCTTATCTCCATTCAGAGTCTCGGACAGCATAAGATGCTTTGGCTAAACAGGAAACTGCTGAGTCATACTCCATTCTTTGAGGATGAGCCTCAAGAGCTTTAGTTTAATTGACTGCATTGCCGTCTGAGTAATTGTCTTGCTACATTTGTCACAGTGCTGAAGCTTGCTCTTACTCTCTCCCTACACTATCTCTTTTAAGTTTCCTTGTTGGTGCTCTAACCAATGCTGTAAACGGTTCTCCTATCACCTCCCCCCATTTCCTATTACTTCTTGAGAATCTTGTCGATATGCTCGACACACTCTTTGTTGAATAACCAACTTCTGCAGTGGAATTCCTAAACCATCCTAACAGTGATCGTTTCGGCTTGATTATGCAACGGCTCTATGACTAGTCAATCGAAAGTAAAAAAAAGAGAGAGAAAAGGTTAGTCAGCTATGGCTGTGGACATAAGTTGCTCTGCTTGTGATTATAGGTTTTACTTCATCAAGTATATAATAAAATCCATGTCGGCTTCAGCTTTTATGTGCTCGCTCTGAAAAGCTAGTTTCCTTAACTAATTTGTCTCGAAGAGCTTGCGGCAAGAGGTGTGAATAATTTTGCATTTTGCAATTTCTTGTAGGACCCGTACTTCTAGTAATCGATGGCTTCTCTCCCATCACTTAGTTGTTCTTATTTGATTTCAGCCGGGTGAAAGTGTGACCATCAAGAAGACAAGTGCGGCCTTGGTCATTGGCATATATCCAAACCCCGGGATTTCTAATCGGTGCAATGGGATTGTTGAGAGGGTGGGCGACGACTTAATCAAGCGAGGTTTTTAGGTACGTCACGATCGCATCCTTCCTTCCTATATGAAATCTTGCATTCTCTTGATGCAAGTATCATGATTAGATCGGGATTGTTGGAGTTGATGCAGGTTTTCGTTGGACACCATGGAAATCTCAAGTGCAAGAAAGGTTGTTTGGTTTGTAAATGGACTTAGACACTTGCCGTTTCTTTACTTCTTTTATGAAACTTTTGCCGAGGATGCTGGTGTTCCGCTCCTAGAAGCTATTTGATAGCTTATCGAAATACTTGAACTGTAAATGCTGATTGAAATTCCTTCTAGTGAAGGTCAAAGAGGTTTATCGTGACTGGTAATCAAATGGATGAGTCTCTGTCTGATCATGAAAATGCTTTCCTCTACCTTTTTTCTTTCATTCATCTCAGCTTTGTTTCAATATCCGATCATCTGCAATTGATTGTTGATGGGCATAGTGCATTCCCTTCAAGGAGAAAGAGAAATCCTTTTCTCATAATGTTGTGTGCTCTACAGTCCTTCCTCTTCACCTTCTTGACCTGGTTTACTTGTTTACTGTGCTGTTGTTACTGCATATGGAACCGAAAAGTGATTTTCTGTGGTTGGGAGTTGCATTTAGATGACTTCTCATCACTTCAACATCGATACGTTCCATTTCGAGAGCCTGTTTGTGCCTTGGGATTGTCCAGGGCGAATGTGGTGAGAAGATGGAAATCTTTTCCTCTCCTTAAGTGGTGAAAATAGAGATTTTGAACCAATGCATTGATGAATACCTAAAGTCTCTTGGAATCCCAAGCGATTTTTGGAGAGGGCAAGCAACAACACCATTGAGGCCGCATCTCTAACTATAGTTTGGCGGGCGCTTGCATGGGTCTACCGCCTAGGTGGGGCGCTTTCACAGAACCTCTTTGAAGTTAGGAGCGATGAGGTGGCTCAGATTATGCCACACTCTTTCAAATGAGGAGAGGATTCTTCAAGACATGAAGTAGCACCAAATATAGTATTTTGATTTTTTTTCTTTTCACATTTTGGAATGAACAATGATGTGTTAGAATTCTTTAAAGAACTTGCAGTTAGGGTATTTTGATTTTTTTCTTTTCACTTTTTGGAACGAACTATGCTAAAATTGCTTAGGAAATCTTTGAGAGTTTTTTCTATTTAGAACAGTGGATGGTAGAGTTGCTTTGGAAGTTTTGAAAAATTTATATTTTTTCTATTTGGAATAATGGATTGTAGATTTGCTTTGAAAGTTTCTGAAGAAGAACCTGCAGTTAGGGTATTTTTGTTTTTTTTTTTTCTCATTTTGAAATAAACAATGGTAGACCTGCTTTGAAAGTTTTTGAAGAAGAACTTGCAGTGAGGGTAATTGAAATTATGTATGGTAGAGTTGTTTTGTAAGTTTTTGAAAAACTTGCATTTAGTGTATTTGGAATAATTGATGGTAGAGTTGCTTTAAATTTTTTGAAGAAGAACTTGAAATTATGATATTTGGAATGATTGATGGTAGAGTTGTTTTGGAAGTTTTTGAAGATGAACTTGCAATTATGGTATTTACGTTTTATCCTTCCTTAGTTTAAAATGAATGATGGTAGAGTTGCTTTGCAAGTTTTTGGGAAAGAAATTACAGTTAAGAGTATTTGGAATGATGGATGGTGGAGTTGCTTTGGAAGTGCTTGAAGAAAAACTTAAAGTTAGGGTATTTTTGTCAAAAAAAAAGCATTGTCTTCATCCTCTCTCCCTCTGATTTGCAAGAAGAGCCAATCTCGCTCATCCCATGTCTGTGATTATGGCCTAATTTCACGATCGACCCATAAAGTTTAAATCCCAATTTGTACTTCAATAACGGTCGATATGTTGTTCTAAAATCAAAGTTGTAATTGTTGTGTTGCAATAATTTTCTTAAGTAATTTTTTTTCTTAGATTCGGCACTTAAGTGATTCAGAAAAAAGTTGAAACCAAGATTAGCAACGTGATAAAGCTACTGCATTCTAGTGTCCTTTTCCCAACTAGAAATTTCTAAGGTACACTAGTACATGGTATTATTGTCTTTTTTACTGTTCATTTACACTTTGTTGCAACGGTAATGTAATTTTATGACATTTGTGTACTTAATTACGAAATATGGTGCGCCACTTCCACGTCGCTGGCCGGTTCGTAATGCTGAAATGATTTGCAAGTAAAAGTTTTATGTCAATTTACGTTCCTACTGGACATTGTATCCTGGTAAACTATGACAGTAGATGCATTTCAAATAAGAGAAGACATAAGTTACCTATCAAAAGACAAAAAAAAATTATTTAAACCTAGCAGCTTAAATAATACTGCTATGACAAAAAGGAAGGAGGCAACAAACTTGTTAACTTGTTACCATCTTTGCCCGAATAACAGCACCCGGTTCACTCCCGATCACCACATACTTAGTGCCACCAAGGTAGACCCCAATCGCAATGAGCGTCCCTGGTTCATTACGTGATTGCGTCCCTCTCTTTCGTCGTAAGCTGCAAAACCGTAGATCCGTGCCTCCAAATAAGAACAAGATGGAGTTATCGTGATTCACGGTGATGAATGCTGCCCAACTTGATCAAATCGTTTACAATAATGCCTTGCTGTAAGTTAGGATGTACATGATATGAAACTAATTGCAATAAAGAGCGACATACGTGATCTTTTTACCATGTCGTAAAAATGCGTTGCAGTATAAACCCAAGTCATGATTAAAACCAGCGGATCCAAGCTGGTTCGAGTGGTAAAAAGCCCATGGACCAATGCCTATTCTCCACTGGTGATGCAGCAAAGCAAGTAAAACTCCTCGGAATTCCTTCAAGATAGTAGCGGAAAAAAGAGATGAAACAAAATTTTACTCGACACTCAAAGTAGGAACAAAGCTTGCTTGCACCAATACTTTAGCTGCAAGAGGATTGTATGCACCCATGGTCTCACGACATGCCCGAAAAAAAAAATTAGGTACGCGGAAGGAAAATATTTCGATACTTCATAAGCGAATTAAAAACTATCCATTTTGAGTTTTGTGTAGATCTTTGATGTTGGTTTTGTTCCGAAATTGATAATTATGATTGTTCGTGGAGAACAAAAAATTTTACATCGTGAGAGTACCCAATATTCACTACGTCATAAATTAGAATACTATTTAGCAGTCACCTAACAAATTTTACTCTTTCACTATCCGGTGAAAATTGGAGGCGCAGAAGATGGATGAGATGTAGAAAATACCGATTTTAGTTTGAGTTTTTCTAGAGTCGAGGAGACGGCAAAAGAATGATTCAGGTTGCAATTGAGAAATCTTAGTAAATGTCCCAATTGTTTTTTAGTTACATTTCACATAATCAATTGTCATTCTCTCCTAATTACGAAGTCTTCCTTTTCCAATCTCAATGAAGCTAGTGTATAAATTCGAATGATCTTGCTAACAAATGTCTTTGGGCACTTGTTAATTATATCTAATCAAGAAATTTATAATTTGCCATTTATTGATTGTGCATGACACGAGAAAGGCAATGCAATGGACAAATGATAAACTTAATTTTTTCTTGGGAAAATTTCAAATAAGGGTCTAAAGTGCTTTCGTTTTCTCAAATAAGGACCTGAAGTGGACCTTGTCTCAAACAAGGACCTGAAGTGCTATCGTTTTCTCAAATAAGTGCCTGAAGTAGACATTATCTCAAATAAGGGCCCGAAGTGGTTTATTAGTCTCAAATAAGGGTCTCACCTTGATGGCTGAAGGGCATTTTCGTCATTTATTTATTTATTTTTATTTTTTGACCTTTTTCCTTTTTATGTTTTTCTTCTCCTTTTCTTTTTTTGTCCCTCTTTCCTCCGCCGGTCGCCAGCGAACGTCGCCAGTGAGGGCAACCCTCGTAGCGCCGATGAGGACAACCCTTGCCCAACGCTAGCGATGGCCACAAGAGGGAAGAGAGAAAAAGATAAAAGGAAAAAGAAAAAAAGAAAGGAAAAATATATATTTAATTTTTTTTAATTAAAATACCCATTCTTCAACGTCGAAATAGTCACCGACCGGCCAAAAATCCTTATTTGAGACGATTTGGCTACTTTATGCCCTTATTTTGAGATTAATAAGTCAGTTCATGATTTTATTTGAAATAAAATTCACTTCAAGCCCTTATTTGAGAAAATGATAACACTTTATATCATTATTCAAAATTTTCTTTTTTTTCTTTTCAAATTTGAATACTTGATCAGCAATATTCAAAGAATCGAAAACCCGAAAGCAGCGAGGAAAATGATGTTTCTCCGTGCAATGTGTTTTCTTCTCGTACTTTGAGAAAGATCAGCCATGGCAGCCCATGATTATTCCCACTGCAAGTTTCAAAGAGAGGAAAATACATTGGAAAGAGCAACATCACTGTAGACTGCAGTCCCTATTCGAAAACCATAGAGATGATAAGTGCGTGTATGAAGAGAGACTCGTACTGCTCATCACTAAATGACACGCAGAGGTCCAAGCACAACCTTGCCGACAGCAACTCCTGTAGTTATGGTTATTACATTAGCCATTTTGGTAGGTGACATCTTGGGCATGGCACAACGAATTCTTGCAGGATTGTCCTTTTGGCTCATCCATAAATCTTTAAATTCTCTCCTTTTGTCTCTATTTATCTTCACACACGCGCGCGCCTTCTCTTTCTTTTAATATCTGGAAAATGCTCGGTGATCTCTTTATGTCTAATAAAATTATCATTAGTTGAGAAAAAAAACGCGGGAAGTGTAACATTTTACAATTGTTTATACAAATTCTTATTTTCAATTCACCTCACGTGCACAAAATTCGTACGATTTTTTCGAATAACAGGAGGCATTCCAACTTTCACTTGGACTAACTGATGTCCACGGATATATGGAAAAGCTCAGTCCATGTGTATCGGATTAGTCTCCATTGCATGATGACGAACATGGCCTTACAAATTAGTCTCATTGGAGGATAGCGCGATTTTTCACACGTACTTTGTCCTGCCCAAACCAAAACATGAACCGGATGATTAATCACTTAGCTAGTTGTTATTTGATGATTTAAATTTGTGTTTATGCTCGTTTTATATATTCGTTAAAACAAAATTTGACGAGCTAGTAAAGTAGTGTTTCACCAGAAAATGCTCCCGCGGCGAAATATAATTCACCGAAAGTCGTTCTTCGGTTTTTAATGTGAGGAGACCGGGTTCCGTGGCGACTCCGGACAGGAAATATCTAGGGAGACAAGGAAAAACGGCGAACTTTTACTTCGAACTTCGAACCGGACTATATGTACAAACCGTGCCGGAATTTAATCGACGACAAAGCTTGAAAATACAGTCGCACACGTACACAAAGATGTAACGCCGAAATTTAATCGACGACGCAACACTCGGGATAG